AGTATTAGGAAAACTATCTAACCACATGAAAAAGAGTGAAACTAGACCACCATCTCATAGCTTGTACAAAATGTAACTCAAAATGAATCCAGATCATGAATGTAAAGATCCAAAGCCACAAAAAACATTGTGGAAATCACAGCCGAAACACTCCATGGCACTGGCTTCAGGAGATGTCTTTATGGACTCATCTCCAAAGGCAAGAGAAACAAAAGTGAATATAAATAAATGGGACTATGTCAAAAGAAATTACTTCTGAACAGCAAAAGAAACTATCAGTAAAACATAAAGACAAGCAAGTGAATGGGATAAAATACTTGCACAACTTACATCTGACAAGGGCTGATATCCAAGATACATAAAGATCTCATAAAACTCAACAAAAATGAAACAAATAACCAAAACACAAAATGGGCAGAAGAATTAAAGAGACACTTTCCCAAAGAAGACACACATTTGGCCCACAAACACATGAAAGAGGGCCACCCTGGTGGCAGAGGGCTTAAAGACAATGCTATCAAGCTATCACCAGCCACTGCAGCATAAATTCCATCCCTGGCTGGCCAGGGAGCAATCCACATGGTGAGCAGACCTCTCCTGCCTCACACGCTGCTCCCCTCAGCAGTGTATTTCAGTCAGTCTGCCTGTTCTGCTCCCCACTCTCTCTGGTCAATCCTCTCACCTCCCCGCACCTCTGGCTTACACCCCAGAACTTGTATGCATAAATAAATCAACCTTAAAAAATTAAAAGTACATGAAACAATACTCCGCATCAGGAAATACATATCAAAAGCATAATGAGATATCATATCACATCTGTTAGAATGGCCCCTATCAAAGTGACCAGAAACACAAATGTTGGGTTGAGGGTGTGGAGAAAAAGGAAACCTCATATACCATTGGTGGAAATTGACTGGACTGGCCCCTTTGGAAACTGTATGGAGGTTTTTTAAAATATTAAAAATACATCTACTATATGATCCAGTGATTGGAGTCCTAAGTATCCATTCAAAGAATACAAAACCACTAGTTGGAAGGGATATGTGCACTCTTATGTTCATTGCAGCCCTTATCACAACAGTCAAGGTATGTAAACAACCTAAGTGCTCAAGAACAGATGAGTGGATTACAAAAATATGGTATATATATACGGTGGAATTCTACTCAACTTTAAAAAAAAGAAATGAATTCTTGCCATTTTCAACAACATGAATGGACTGGAGGGGAATATGCTAGGTGAGATAAGTCAAAAGGAGAAAGAAAAATACTGGATGGTTTCACCTATTTTGCATCATAGAGAACGAAACAAAGGGAGAGAAAACCAGACCAATGACAAACCCCAGAAATATGACTGTGGAATTGAGGTTAAAAGAATGGGAGTTGGAGAGGGAAAACAACTTGGGAGTGGTTCACAACGTACTGCAGTGCAGGACTGCCTGGATGATCAGTGGATCATTTAGCTGGGAATTGAATGACTCGTGTCAGACCAGAAAAGACTTTAGCCATGTTTCCTCAAATAACTTGGCAATGGGCTCAATTTTGCTGTGCTGATAATTTTGAATTCTGGACCAATTTGCAGTTCTGGGAAAAACATTTGTCATTTATTTTTCAAGATCCCTTCCCAGGTCCTTGCACCTTTGCTTTTTGATATCATACATTGGTTGTTCCCATTCTGCCTTTTCTATCCATTCTTTACCTTTTGCCTTGAAAATTAATATGTGAATTAGTTGGCAAAGATCAGAAATCCCAAGGCTTATAAATCCCTAGGATGAGTTCAAACTCATTCATGAGGGTTTGGAGAAAAAGGAACCTTCTTACATTGTGGGTGGGAATGTAGACAGGGCCATCTCCTATGAAAAGAAGTATGGAGGGCCTCCCCCGTGGCGCAGCGGTTGAGCGCTGGGTTGCAAAGCTGCCCGCAGCCTCTGCAGCACCGGTTCAATCCCTGGCTGCTCCCTGGCCACCGGAGGAGGGTCTCACATGGCGCAGACCTCTCCTGCCGCCCGTTGCTGCTCCCTTCAGCAGTGTACTTCGTCAGTCTGCCTGCTCTACTCTCTGCTCTGACTGGTGAATTCTCTCACCCTCCCGCGCTTCTGACTGTACCCAATGCTTGTATAAAATAAATAAATAAATATTTAAAAAAAAGAAAAGAAGTATGGAAGTTTCTCAAAAGACTAAAAATGGATCTTTAATATATCCCAGCAATTCTACTCCTAGGTATCTACCCAAAGAATGCAAAAACACTCAAGTGAAAGGAAATCTGCACTCCTATGTTTTTAGCAGCATTATTTACAGTAGCCAAAATATGGAAACATAAATGCCACAGAATAGATCAGTGGACCAAGAAGATGTGGTACATATACACAATGGAATATCACTCAGTGATCAAAAATAGGTAGATGATAGATGATAGATAGATAGATAGATAGATAGATAGATAGATAGATAGATAGATGATAGATAGATAGATAAACTCATACCATTTTCAGCAACATAGATGAGCCAGAAGGAGAAAGGTATATGTGGAATATAGAGAAAGCAAACAAAGGATCAGACATAGCAAACTTTAAAACCAGCCCTAATGGACACTGGAATTTGGATTGGATATCATTTTCACATGCCATGAAATATTCTTGTTTTGATTTTTTTCAACCATTTAAAAATGTAAAACCATTCTTAGCTAACAGGCCACACAAAGACAAGTGGTGAGGCTAACTGGTCTGTGGGCCCTAGTGCTCCAACCCCTGCTTTATAACAGAAGATGATTTTCCCTAGTTTGCACTGACCTCCTTTTTAGGCATACCAGAGTGCTTTAAGTCATCCCACAGGATCAACGCAAAGCAACCAGGCCTCTCAAAACAAAAACAAAAACAAAAACAAAAACAAACAAACAAAAAAACAGGAACATTTAAAACACATTCTACAATTTTGTGGAAACAACCTTGCTGAGAAAGGCATGACAATTCCTCACCCTAGTAATGCTCAGGAAATAAATTGAGATTTTGTTGAGAAAGCTTTAAAAAATAATAAATAAAACCAGCCCTTGTAAGCTGACTATAGATCTGAGACATCCAGGAATGGGAAGATAGGAGGAGGGCAGAAAAAAGTAGAGAGAGCACAATGGACTATGATGGAGGACAATGGGTGCTTTGGTGGTGGGAGAACTATGGTAACCTCATCTGAGGGGAGAAATCCTATATTGTGACAAAATTAACACATATGTAAAATCATGGTGTTTCGTTAAAATAAAATAAAATAAAATGTACTCTTAGACTTTGACTAAAAAAAGAAAAAAAGACATTCTCTCATGAATTGTGCTGGATGCTCAAAGGGGTCAGGGAATTCTTTAGAGTTCTTGGTTCTACGTTGGTCCAAGGGGCATAGTCTAAGAATATTGCAACTTTTCTTTCTGTACTAGATATTGTTTTCTCCTGATATGGATAATGACTATTTCTAGTTCTCTAATTTCTCTCTCCTAACCTCTGGAGAAGGATAGGTACCATTCAAAACAAATTTCCTGTTCTATTTTTCAGCTAGCTTGTTCTAGCTACATAGGCAAACTAATTTTTGCAATTAATAAGTGCCCCACTTGGGCCACTTCAAAGAAAGACACTTTTAGTTATTTCCCCCCATTGAAGAGGAATTACCCCCACTTGTAAATATTCTCCCCATAAATGTTGTACATAAAACTTGCAGGGTTGTTTGTTAGTTCTGGCATTCCTCATTTGGGGGGTTTTGGTCTTATTTTCCATGATTGAAGTGAACTCAAAGTTTGCTCATTTGACTATAGCCTAGCTTCTTTCAGTGTGACTGGAGGACTGGTTTAGCCTGTATGTCTTCCAGCGTATCTAACAACTGCTTAAAGCAATTATTGGGACTCTGGAGACAAAAGATCAAACATTTTATCATTCTCTCCACGTACAAGCACAAAGATATTTATAAATGTTTTCCCTACAGGCCTGCTACAGGTCTGAATATGTCAGAGGGAATACTTCTCCTTTACATTTTTTTTAAAGATTTATTTATTTATTTATACAAACAATGGGTACAGTCAGAAGCACGGGAGGGTGAGAGAATTCACCAGAGCCAGAGCAGGGAGCAGAACAGGCAGAAAGACCGAAGTACACTGCTGAGGGGAGCAGCGGGTGGCAGGAGAGATCTGAGTGCCATGTGGGACCCTAGCCCTGCGGCCGGGGATTGAACCAGTGCTGCAGAGGCTGCGGGCAGCTTGGCAACCCAGCGCTCAACCGCTGCGCCACAGGGGAGTCCCTCTCCTTTATCTTTGAAAGAGGCTTTTTCATATCTTGATTTTGAATTCTGAGCAAATCTTGTCTTAGTTGATTAAGGAGAATGTAACAACCGCCAAGCAACAACCCTGCCTTTAGTTCTTTTCAATGAAGCCAGATTTCCAAACTGGATATTGTAATTCCCTTTCTTTCACCTTAGCAAGGATTTCCTATCCCATCCAGGACAAATACATGTCAGTGCCAAATTGGAAACTGGAATCTCCATTTCTGCTCTCCAGCAGAGGATTTCTTGTCCCATCTGGTACAAATATAATTCTTTAGAAAACTCAAGGACCATCAACCAAACTGGGAGGTCTGAGACCCATGGGTACTCACTAGTCACCACATCTTGAGCTCTGAGGAGCCAGATGAGCTCAAGGGGCCCTTGCTGGTATCAAGCCACCCAGTCTCCTCACTGCTGGTTTAATCAATGTTTCTGTGTCCCATCTGTAGAGTTGCCATTTCTTGACTTATATAAATTAAGCCAAGTATAAGTAAATGAAGTTATTAAAGAATCAAGACTGAGGAACTGAGCCCCAGTACAGCATCCAAATAGCTCTGGGATAGCTACTTAAATTTTGAGACTTAAAATGAAAATGTTATACAATCTGCAAGGGAAACATTTTACATTTTTAAGCATTCTCACTGAGAAATCTGGGAAGACTTTTGGTTAATGTGTCTTTTGGATGTTATCTATGTATTGAGAAAAACAAATGTTAAAATTTACAGTATCTATTTAGAGCCTTATCTTATGGGTTCTACAAGCTTTACCAATGCCATAAGCCTCAATGTCTGTTGTTTTTGAAGTTGCTGATTTGCTCTGAAACAACTTTTTATTGTTGCTGACACAGCTTCTTCACAAGATCGTCCAGTACAGCTGTGTCTTGCTCTTTAGCTTGCACTTTTTTGAGACCAGAGAGAGGGTATCCCTTGAATATTTGATTTGTGCTTACAGAAGAAAATTAGCTTAAGGGATTTTAAAATTAATTCACCAATTAAATTCACTTCATGTTTAAATAATTTATTTGATGTTCACTAATTGTGTGTTCATTTCAATCCTCGACATGTATCTGCCAGACATGAAAAACAGTGGCCATAACGAATGACAGTATTTCTGAAATACACTTTATGAATATAAACATTTCTAAAACAAAGAGAAAACTGCTATATGAAAAGACACAATGAAATTCTGAACATTTCTCTGATTTACAAAATTATACCTTTTTGTTTTCCACAAAATGAATACAACCACTTTAAAAATATGTATGTGCCTGTGTATATCCCCCACACAGTACAGAAACAAAGTGGCAAATTTTTAGTGCACTGCCAAAGTACTATAACTGTCATTCAAGACATTCACATGCAAACACTGCTGGACTACTATACTAGATAAAATGAGATTATTAGCAGAACTCCTGTGCAAAAACTTTTGTAAAAAGCAAATACTGGAACAGAAATCCACTTTTCATATGAACAGTATATAAAATATTTTATCATCTGAGTAATGTATACACATAGTACTATTTAATCTTAGAAAATAACTTCTTAATGTACACAAGAACTGCAGTGTAGACTCTGTAAATGTTTTTGGAAATAAATGGGTCATGAAAAGGTCTCACATAGAGCATCAGGAAGCCACAAATCCATTAAAAATAAAAAAAAGGAAATGCATGGCAAGGACCAAAATGCACATTCAAGGGAGTAGAGTAGGGAGAAAGGAACAGAAACCTATTAAAATGGAAAACTAAAATTGGTTATGACACAAATGAATCATGGAATTTGGATGGTGAAAAGGGAGAGGAGAAAAGAATTTCTCATCTTTGCTATAAAATACATATAGTCAGTTACTAGCCAAAGCCCACTTGGAATGTGCGTTGGCTATATTGTCACACCAGTCATAGCTCAGAGTTTTGAAAAACTGCCACAAAAGGTTATTTTGAATAACTAATAAGATACTAGTTATGAAGATGTTTCACAAAATGCTACATGCATGTAAGACAAATAGTTTATGCGATATTGAATTCAACTTTTTTTTTTTTTTAGTGTGATAGCTTTTCAATAGAATTAGCGTAGGAGTGGTACTGAGGGAGCTAGAAAACAAGGATTTTGAATAATAGTTTCCCAATAAAATTCCCAAGATTAACCTGGCAAATGCCCAGCCAAACAGAGTTGACCCAAAGTGGGGGCAAGTTCAATCTTTCCTTCCAAAAGAGGTAGAAATCGCTGTTTCATTTTCCTGTTTTCATGCAACCAGATGCCATAGTCAAGGTAACCTCTGACTCTGGAAGCTGAGCAAAGATGGAAACAAATTGATCTAATGGAAAGGGATTCAGATTTACATAAGAACAATTTCTCCACTCATGGCATTTTCCCACAAAAATTCCTGCCTCACCCTAACCCTCACACATCTTACTATTTGCACATTAATAGGATTAAATTGTACAAATTTCTGCCTTATAGTAGTAAGGGCTGAGAAGGTAAAAGGATTATACAAATAAATAAAAATGTGCCAAAGCACACAATATTTTTCTTTACAAATTAATAAGTAGAAATGTCTAAGGTATGTTAGGCATATGTGTGCATTGCCGGCCATCTGACAACTAGGAAACTGAGGCCTAATGAGACTAATGCGACATCACTTATTGAATACAAATCTGTGCATCTTTTTCATGTAAAGTCTTGGCTGGCAATTTTTGTCAAAAGCAGTTAAGGAAAATAAATGGTGAGAACAGTCAAGTCAACACATTTTCTTTTGCTTTTTTTTTTCTTGTGGGTTCTATCATAATTTGAGAAAATATTTTAGCATTAAATGTTAGTTCTATTAAACTTTTATAAGTGACTTAAACAGAATTCTTCATTTCATAGCAATTCTCTCATGAACAATTCCTGATATTGAAACACAGCTAACTATGAATTAATGCATTGATCAGCAACAGCTGCAAATATCACAAGAGAAAACCAGACATGTATGTGCCAGCTAACAAAAGGCAACAAAACTTATGAAAGATTCCTGCTCAAAATATCATATTTCCAATATTATCAAGTCTCTAAATACAACCACCAAATCAAGGGAATAAAGGAAGAAGGAACATTCTTAAGTAAATGTAGTAACCTGTGTAAAAAAATTCATAGACTGTGGCAAACACTACATGTGAAGCAACCTCATTTCTTCAAATGAATAAAATTTTCAAGGAAAGAAGGGGAAACAGATTAAAAAGACATGTAATAAGAGACTTATTTGGATCTAAAATATTAAAAGAAGTAGCATTTAGAGACAACTGGAACTTTGAATCTTCACAAGACATTTACTGGTAGTAAGGAATTATTATTAACTTTAAATATAATGGAATTTTATCTTTTTATAAAAATAGCCCATATATTATACTACTACATATTGATTATTTATGAATGAAATAATGTGATGTCTGGCATTTATTTCAAACAAATACTAGAAAAAGGAGAAAGTGTATATTAGCTAAACAATATTGTTCATGAATTGATAATAGATGAACTTGGGAGTCAAGTACATGGATATTATTATATGTGTATTTTATGCATGTTTGGAGAAAAATGCACATGCAACACCATCACTCCAAGATATCCCAATTTTTTTTCAAGGAAAGAAGCATATAATAAAGGAATCACAGTGTTGAAAAGACCTTAGAAACAATTTATTCAAAGCACTTCATTGCTAGTTACTAATTATAAAGGGAGTGTAAGTATTCCCAAACAGGAGTTAATGCTTCAAGAAGTTGGAATCGACAAAGTGTCAAAAATACCCTGTCATAAGAAAACACTTTATTTTTCCTGGATAGGAAGATGAAGCATTTAATCCACAGGGAAATTTGATTCTCATATTCTATCAAGTTTCCCTTCTACTACTCAAAGCTTTCAATTATGTAATATTAGGAGATAATGGCAAAAACAACAAGTTAAACATATTTTTGACTCATGACAAACACGTTCAACAAAGTACCCTGGATGTAAAACTTCCTGCAAAGCATTCTGTTACTGCATTTTTGACTAGCAAAATTTAAATAAACCAAGGACTGAGGAGGCACAAAAGGCAAATGAGGTAACAAACACCAACAGAAATGTAACCATTATGCTTGTAGTCACACTTCTGACTGACTAATTTACACCACTGTGCTGGAAAAATGGTAATGACAGATCAACCTTTTGAATAAATTGACCTAAAGAAACTGCATGAAACCACAATTACAAAATTTTTATCTTCAACAAAAATGAAATTTGACCTTTGACAATTCTCCATAACACAACAAAGGCATAGTTTATGACCGTTTTTAATGGGAGGCAATAGAACTGAGGGCTTAAAGAAACAGTGACAGGATTTTAAAATATCTTTGGAGTTATATATCTTAATAGATGCCCATGACCTACACATTCACCTCAAGCCTCGGCATTCCTACCTTTAGGAAAGGAAAAACAATCTATTTAAGAAAAGGACTTAACTAATAGAAAACGTTTGTAAAATGGGCTAAAAATCTTACCAGAGTTCTGAGGGAGAACTGTTGAAATGGTTAGAAACAATCAAGGATTTCTTCTATTTACAAATTCAGGTATACTTTTTCACTGAATGAGTACCACCAATTTGAAAATTAGAAAGACAGTACAGATGCCTTTTTTTTTTTTTTTTGTGGGACCCTCGCTGCAGAGGCTGCGGGCAGCTTCCCAACCCAGCGCTCAACCGCTGCGCCACCGGGGAGACCCTACAGATGCATTTCTGTACTGTACACCGCCAAAGTGCCGTGATAACTGTTATCCACCAGCATCTACATGCAGACAGTACTGCGGCTAGAAGGTTTCAGAGCATCTAATAGAGTTTGTTAGCATAAATGCATGGTGAAGAAAATTTAGAAAAGTCAAAGAAGCACATGTCTCACTAAAACCTTACATAAAGGTCCCCATTGCCACTTGATTCATATATAAACGCATTGAAATCTAAATTCAAAAAATAATTTCTTAGTGCCACTCAGACTATTGTGACTCAACACATGGGCAAGAGGAAAATGTTGAAGAGGTGGTGATGACCAAAATGTCCCGCCTAATTAAAATGTTTCAAAAAGAGATCATTGGTGGGCTTCCCCGGTGGCGCAGCGGGTTGAGCGCAGTGCTGCGAAGCTGTCCACAGTCTCTGCAGTGTGGGCTCGATTCCCGGCTGGCCAGGATGATCCCCACATGGCGCGGCAGACCTCTCCTGTCTCGCCCGCTGCTCCCCTCAGCAGTGTATTTCAGTCAGTCTGCCTGTTCTGCTCCCCGCTCTGTATCTGATGAATCCTCTCACCCTCCCGTGCATCTAGCCTGTACCCCGACTCTTGTATAAATAAAATAAATCTTTAAAAAAAGAGAGAGAGATCATGGTAAGGACTGGCATGCTAGAGGGTAGGTTGTAGAGGGAGCAGAGCTGGAAGAAGGTAACCGACACCAATTAAAATGGAACAGAACTACTGGTCATAAACAAATGTGATTATGAAACTCAGAAGAACAGAATGGGAGAGGTGAAAACACTTCCTTTTTGTTTTCAGATGTGTATGTGTGTGGGTGTGTGGGGGGGTGTTACTTAGCAAAATGCATCTGTAAAGTGAGCTAAGTAGATTTTAATATGAGTTTTGATGTGTTACAGTTAAAATTTTGCCACAACTCTGACACAATTGTGAGGAGCAAATTTAACAGTTGTGAAAGTGCCACATAAACTGTAAAATGCTATATTCGTGTAAGACAGAAAATATTCACTCAGACTGCAAGCAAAACCTCCCATCCCAACTCTGGGAGAAGGGAGGCAGGTGAGCTCTCTGGGTGAGAAAAATCTCACTCTAGCCCACTGATTTCCCGATTTTCTTGGAACCCCAGGCTCTATAGTCACTCCATGGGCTGGCTTTGAATGCAGAGCAAAAACACTATAATTTGGTCTACCATTAGATATACATGTGGGCAATATCACACAAGAATTGTGTAGAGGAAAATCCTTCTCAGTCTGTGGAAGAAAGAGATTCTCTTCCTTGCTTCTTAACCCTCATAAACCTTTTCTGCCTGCACAAACGTGATATTAAATTATGCTAATTTCCCCTCTTTGAGGAAGGAATGAGAGAAGCAGGAAAAGGCTCACTAAAATATTCCAAAACAGTAATATTTTCTGTCCAACACTAACTATTGGGATTAAAAAAAAAAAAAAAAAAAAGATGTCTAAGATGCACCAGGCATGTTTACATTACAATGACTGTTTTACAGCTAAGGAACTCAGGCTTAGAGAGACTAAATAACTTATGTAAGGCCACTTATTTGACATCAAAAATCAGTATTTCACTCTGGTTCTGTGTCATCTCAAAGCCTTGGCACTTTCTACAACAACACAGCCTTCCATCAAAACAGAGGATAGAACGATAAACAGATAAAAAGAACCGACCCATAGTCTTAGCTTTCTTATTTTTTCAAGCTTCATGACTAGATTTTAGAAATCTTTTGGCATTTTGTAAAATTTTCATTAAGTTTTTAAAGTTAAACAACAGTTTCATGTTCTCTGATCATTAACTCTCAATGCAGTTTTCATTACATTAGAAGCACATGCAATAGTTAATCACTGTAAAATGTCCTAAGTTTTTTCCAGAAAGAGCACAAAATCATGAAAGTACAGAGCTGAAAAAGACATTAGAAACACCTTATTTTATAAATAAGGAAATTAAGGCTCAGATAGGTTAAGTGACTTGCTCAGGGTCACCCAACTTGACAGTTCCAGACTCAAGATCAGAATTTAAATCTCCAAACTTGTAGCCCAGGGCTCTGTTCTTTGTCAAACCTATGAAAAAATGACTGCATTTTAAACATTCAGTCCAGAATATCCTTAAAATTGAGTGTAATTAATAAAAGTGGTGAGGAATGAATAGTTAGTTCATACCAAAAATGAGCTGCTAGTCACTGTGATAAGATCTGTTTCTTTCTGAGAACCATGGTTCCCTGGGGGATTGGAGAATCCAAACTGGGTTTCTTGCTCCTGTCCAAAGAAGTCAGAGTCAGGATGCACTACGTTCCAGTCCACTTTGGTTGGTGTCAGTAGTTCTGAGACACTGTTTTCACAAAGAGTGCTTGAAGGAGTCAGAGCATCTGTGTCCCCTGTTAGCTTACTGCTGGGGGTCAAAGCTTGGGGCTCTTGACTGGAGTTTTTCACAGCCAAAGAGCCCAGAGATCCCAATGGCCCTGCACTTAGACTGGAGACATCATCCACATCTGAGGGGCTCTGCTGAAAACCCGCGGCAGTCGTTCCGAAAAAGAGGGAGGTATCCAGACTCTGAGGAAGGTCACTGGTGGCCATCAAGGACCGAGGGTCCACAGCCTGCCCTAAGGCAGTATTATTATTATTATTATTATTATTATTAGCAGGGAGGTTCCCTGCCAGAGTTGAGCTCATAGAAGCCACATCAATAGTCAAGATCCCAGCGTTCACCAATGCGGTGTCCAGCACTGCAGCAGAGCTACTGCTAGGCACATCAGAGAAGAGAGACACTAGCTCTGCATCACTGAGATCCCTCTGTCCCTGGCTGGTAAGTTCACTGCTGGGCGTAAGAGAATTTGCAGCTTCCAGCTGAGCTAAGAGTTCCTGGCCCAGGTTGTGCCTTTTGGCCATGTGTGTCTTCATGCTGTGCTTGGATGTGAATAGTTTATTACAAGTGGAGACTGGGCAACGGCTTTTCCAAGTGTCCACAGTCTGCAAGTGTTTCTTGGAGTGAATGTAGAGGCTGCTTCGAGCAGAGAACCTGGCACAGCAGCCTTCCACTGGGCACACAAAAGGCTTTGTGCCCAGGTGGGTTATGCTGTGGCCTTTCAGATGTTCGGCCCTTGTGAAAGATTTCCCACAGCCTTCCACAGGACACATGAATCTCCGGTCATCGTCGTGTTTCCTTTTATGCCGTAAGAGCTTAGACATGCTGGTGAAGTTCCAGCCACAGCCATCAAAGTCACAAAGGAAAGGTCTCTCGCCCGTGTGGCTCCTCAGGTGAATTTTCAGTCGACAAGCTTTGTCGTACTGTTTGCTGCAGCCAGGAAAGGAGCAGGAAAAGAGTTCCTGTTCCCTAAAGTGGGCGCGATTATGGGAAAACAGAGCACTCACCGTGATAAATGTCTTCTTGCAGCCGGAAAACGCACACTGGTAGGGCCTCTCAGGCTCAAAGTGGCTGCGCTGGTGGGCGCTGAGCTTGGCCTGGGTGGGGAAACTCTCCTCGCACACCTCGCACTTAAATGAGTTCTCCTGCTCATGGCCCTTCATGTGCGCCTTGAGGTTGTACACCGTGGTGAAGCTCTTGCCACAGCCGTCGGCAGGGCAGCCGAAGGGCCGCAGTTTGTCGTGCGACTGCAGGTGTCTCTTAAGCTTGTAAGAGGTGGTGAAGGTCCAGCCGCAGCCACTCAGGGGACACTTGAAGGGCCGCTGGCCCTGGCTGCTGCTGTGAGTCAGCAAGTGCACCTTCAGCTGGTGCTTCTTGGCGAAGGTTTGTCCACACTGCGCCTCAGGACACAGGTACAGCACCACGCCCGCGCCCGGGCCCGGGCCCGGGCCCAGCGGCCCTTGGGTACTCTCAGCGGCGGCCCGGCCCTCCGCCTCCTCTTCAGGCGCCGCCGGGGCGGGTGCGGGTTCGGCCGGCTCCGCTAACAGGAGGTCGGGAGGCAGGTCCGGACAGTCGCCCGGCTGCGCAGCGTGCGGGGCCCCTGCTTGCGGAGCGATTAGACCCCCAGGCTGCAGGGCAGGCGCCACTCCGGGCTCCCAGGCTGGCGGCGGGGGCGTGGCTAGGGTGAGGAAGCCGTTCTCCAAGCGCAGCAGCAGGTCCTGGTTGTGGATGGTGACGGTGCCCGCGAAGGCCGCAGCTGGGCCCAGACCTGGGGAGGGGATCGGGGCCCGGACTGGGGCCACTGACAAGCAACGGGGCCCAGCGCAGGCAGGCCCGCGGGGTTTGAGCCGCTCTCACCCCCCTGGAGCCCTGGGCTTGACTCAGCCTCCTCCCTCCATACGGGCCCTAAGGCCTGGCCAGAGCCCGCTGTCTCCACGTCGCCACCCACCGGGTCCAGCAGCACCAGGAAGAAGTCGTCGCCGCCGCCGCCGCCGCCGCCGCCGCCGCCGCCGCCGCCGCCGCCGCCGTCAGCTTGATTAGGCCTCGGAAGCAACAGGCTCGGGCCCGGGCCCCGTGAGGCCGCGCGGGCCTCCTCGCACCGCGGTCCCGGCCCGCCATCTTGGGGGCCCCGGAGCAGCAGGAGGCGGCGCGCGGGGACCCGGCCAGCCCGCGGGTCGGGGCCTCCGTGGACCCGGCCGCCGCCCGCGGGGCTGCCAGCGCCTCCGCCCCGTCGTGTCCCGCGAGCCGTGAGCAGCCTCGGGATTTCCATCTCCGCGTCCGTGAGGCCTGGGCTGGAACCGGAGCCGCGGAGGAGGCGCGACCCCGCCCCCTGCCGCGGGCCTGAACACGATCCTGAAAGGGAAAAAAAAAAAAGTGCAATGCGCAGAAACTGGCCCTATCAGATATTAAAACGTGTTTAACGCCACAGTGATTTAAATATTCTGGTACCGGGTCTCTGGAACAGAATAGAAAGCCCAGAGGCAGTGTCCGGTATGCGTAAATAAGTGCCACGATTAATATTCCTAGGAAATCAAGGAGGTCTTCTAAGGTACTAGAGAAATGACAGCTCAATCCAGCATAAATGGTGCTGGGATATCTAGGTATCTATCTGCTAAATGCAATTTAAAAGGGTAAACACACTTGGCATGTACGCTGTATACACCAAAGTAAGCCACCCCATCCCCTCCCAGTGCTAAGCATGGTGCTTAGTGCTTTTCCTGTGTTAAAATTTGTTTCTGGGCTAGACTGATGACAGGAAATTCCTGAAAGAATGCACTGTGTCGATATTTACCTACCATAGTGCTAGTAATTCGTACTAAAAATGATGCCCTGCCCCCCATCCACATACGCACGAACGCACACACACGCACACACCGAACTGCCATATCCAGTACTGACCTGAGTAAGGTGCTCAGGAACATTTGCCACATAGTTAATGATTTTTGTCCTACTGATGCAGAGGTAGGTTTAGCTAACACTCATGTAACCAGGACCAGAATGAGGAAGAAGTAGTGCCAAAACACAATACCACTGTTTAGCCTAGAAATGCAAAGTCTGGACGATGAAACCACTTATGTTGAAATCGGGAAAACACAACAACTCCTGGGTTCTCCCGATACAGTGCACAACTTAAACCAACACTTTGCCCTTCCACCTCTGGCTACCCCATGGTAAATTTCGTGTCCTATCTCACTGCCCAAGGAGGACCTTCCTCAGTTTATTCTAGATCCTCTAGCAGTGGAAGTCTCTGGAGAGGAGTACCAGTTAAATGTGAGTACCAGTTAAAAATTAAGGCTAAACACTAAGTCACTGCAAGGGACTCTCCTGAGAAAAATGCACAGATAACTGACCATGTCCAGTAATCCCCGTGTGCCTGCTTGCATTTAAGTGTGGTGGCCCAGGTTTTGATAATTTATAAAAGATTATAGCCATGTAACCAAGACCATGGCCAAGAAATAGACCATTCACAGCCTTCCAGAATACAGCCAGCCACTGTATTGCTCCCCATTACAGCCCACAACTTCCCATATGGCTATTACCATTATCGAGACTTTGTGACATTTTCAGTGCTTTTCTTTGTAGTGTTACCACTTATGTACACACCCCTAAACAATACAGTTTATATGAAATTACTTAAACAGAACCGCCCTGTGTGCTTCCTTTCATGGCTTGCTTCTTTCACTCTGCATCATACTTATTTAAGAGACTCAACCATGTTGTTCATAGTAGCTGTAGATCATTTGTCTCCATTGTTGGCTAGCATTCCAGTGTATGATTTTAGCAAAGTGATGACGATTATACCGTTCAATAGTGGACGTGCACTACGGCATTTCTGGTTTTGGACTATTATTGTGAGCAATGCCGCGGTGAACATTCTTGGGTAGTTCTCATGGGACACCTGTACATAAAGTCACTGGGCCAAACAGTATGCCTATCTTCAGCTTTTCCAAATGATGCAGATGTTTTCCATAATTTCCAATCAATCCAGCCAGTAGCATAGAGAGGTCCTGCTACTACACATCTTGACCAGCACCAAGTATCGCCATATTGTTTGTTTGTTTGTTTTTTGACTGTTACTATTAAGCTTTTGCACATTCTCATGCACATTCTCATTCAAGCCTTTTGAATTTTCTCTTCTCTGAAAGACCTGGTCAAGTTCAAACTTTCAATCATTTTTCTACTCGATTTTCTCTTGTACTTACTGATTTAGTGAGTTGTTTATGTGTTTCAAATACTAGTCCATTGGTATTTATGTGTGTGACCAAAATATCCCCTTACTCTTCTGTTAACATTTTCACTTGCTTATGCTGTGCTTTGTAGATGGACAAGCTCAGCTATAATATAGTAAAAATGTCCATTCTTTTCCTTGTGGATATATTCACTTTCGGTTTAAGAAATCTGTCTCTACCCTGGGACCATGAAAATAATATCTGTGTTGTTTTCTAAAATTATTTACGGGGAGAGTCTTACCTTCCACACTGATATCTTAATCCACATGCAAGTCATGGTTGTGTATGGTGTTGAGTAAGGTTGCATTACATTTTTATTTTCACGTGGATATCCAGTTGTCTCCATGGACCTCATATTGAAAAGCCTGCCCTTTTCCAACTGATATGCAGCACCTCATATGTCATAAATCATCTACCTATGTAATGGCTAGTTTCTATGCTGTCTTATAAGTGCAATGGCCTCATCGATCCATGTGAAATATCATGTATCTCTATTAATTACTACAGAGTCCATAGTCAATCCTGATATTTGAATAACACTGATTGTTTCTTCCATGTTCTTCAAAAGTTTCTTGGCTACCTTTGGCCCATTTTGACTCCATTTACATGATCAATACATCAGAAAACTCAACCAAAAACTTGTTAGTGATTCTAAATAGAATTGTGTTTATTTAACTTTTAAATTTGACTGTTTTTTCAATATTGAATACTTGATTCATGGGTATGGTCTCTCTCTCCTTTTAATAAGAGCATCTTTAATGTGCCCCAATAATATATTATAATTTTCCCATAATAGGACATTTTAATTTAAAAAAAAGAGAGAGAGGCCCTCCCTAGTGGTGCAGGGGTTAAAGTCTCAGCACTATCAAGTTGTCACCAGCCACTGTGGCATGAGTTTGATCCCCGGCCAGGGAGCTAACCCACGTGGCACCACAGGCATCTTAGGTCTGACCCGCTGCTCCCCTCAGCACTGTATTTCAATAGATCCGCCTGTTCAGCTCCACATTCTGTCTCTGGTGAATCTTCTCACCCCCCTCAAACCCCCCCCCACACACACACACCCCTCTGGCCTATACCCCAGTGTAAGGTAAATGGTTTTCAGGCTTTTCTATCCTCCCACCATTAGGATTGCCCTGCCTGATGGGGTACCTGCAGTTGTTACATTGTTGTGCTGTTTACTTCTGTGAGCCATAGGAGGATTATTGAGATAGTCACCAACAGAGGAAGAAGTGGAAGAGGCAGGTGAGAGTAAGGGGAAAAATAACACCAGAGAAGCCCAGAGTGAAGACTTGCATCTCTGCCTGCCGTGTACCTGGTTGCTGCACTACATGTAAAAGCTCAATAAAAGCCTGAGAAACCCACCGAGGGCTCCAGGACTCTCCTTTACCCCAGTCTGCTCGAATCTTAGAAAACCTGCACTGTGCCCATCCTGCCCCCACACCCAGTTCTTGTATGCATAAGTAAATAAAAAATAAATAAATAAAAGTAAATAAAAAATAAGTAAATGAAAAATAAAACTTTTTTCAAAAAATAAGGACTAGCAAAAAACAGTTCTTTAGTAATGTTTGGAAACTTCAAAAGACCACTTTCATTAGTCAATGGCGCAACCAGACAAAAGATAAATAAGGCTATAGAAGGTTTCAGCCATAATGGAATCTACAGACATATAGAAAATACTGTACACACCAACAAAAAAATACACACTTTTCTCAAAAACACATGGCACATCTTTTTTTTTTTTTTAAATTGAGGCAGCATTGGTTTACAATATTGTATGTGATTCAAAGGCAAAGGATCACCCCTTCTCAGATGCATGTCACCACACCACATCTACCACCAAGGCACCCCTAAGCCCTCCACCATAATCCACTGTACCCCCTGTCGTCTTTGTTTATACCCTCATCCTGCTGTCTCTATATTCCACATATAAATAAAATCATCTGGTATTTGTCTTTCCCCTTTTGACTTATTTTGATTAACAGTATGCCCCTCCCCCAATTCCATCACTGTTGTTGCAAATGACAAGAGTGCATCTTCTTTTTCTATAGCTGAGTAGTATTCCATTGTGTATTTATACCACATGTTTTCCAATCCACTTCTCTGTACTTGGTCACTACGTTTGTTTCTATAACTCAGCTATTTTAAGAAGCACTACAATGATCATATGAGTGCATATTCCACATATTTGTGTATGCTTCTTCATGTTTGCTTATTTTCAAACTAGTGTTTTTGCATAATTTGGGTAGATATCTAGGAGAATAATCCCTGTATCATACGTTAGGTCTATTTTCAATATTTTGAGAGACCTCCATATTGTTTTCCATAGCCTAGAGCAGTCCACATTCCCACCTACAGTGTTGTAAGAGGATTCCTCTTCCTCCAGATCCTACCCAACACTTGTTGTGTCTAGTCTTTTTGATAGGGTCCATTCCCACAGGTGTGAGATGGTATCTCATGGTAGTTTTTCATTTCAATTTCCCAGATGATAAATGATGATGAACTTTTTTTTTTCCTGCACTTGGCACATTCTTCAGAATAGAACATATGTTATAACGTAATAAAGCTCTTAATAAATTTGAAAAGTTTGAAATCATGCAAAGAATTGTTTCTGTCCAAAGTGGAATAAAAATAGAAATCTATAGCAAAGGTAAAACTGGAAAATTCACAAGTATGAGGAAATCAAGCTACTCATAAACAAATAATGATCAATGAAGAGATAAAATGAAATTTAGAAAATATGTTTAGACAACAAAGTCAAAGCCACAGCACATCATAATTAATGGGGTGCAATGAAAGCAATACTATGAAAGACAACTTATTGTGATAAACATTTATTTTTAAAGTGAATAAAGATCCCAAATCAAGAAACACATTTTACAAAGGGACTAAAACATGGAAAACACAGCAGAAATAAGGAAATCATAGATTATATCAGACATGAATGAAATAAAATATAAAAAATTAGAAAAGAGTCAATCAATGACAGTGACAGTTGATCTAAGAAAAGCACAAATTTGACAAAACTTTAGCTCAGTTAACTAAAAGAAGACTCAAATTATTAAAATCAGAAGTGAATG